TTTTTTTTTTGGTACTGGGGATCCAAACTAAAGACCTTGCATTTAGGAGGAAGGCATGTTGCCATTGAACTGAATCCTCAGCCTTGAAAGATGTTCACACCCCCCCCCCATACTCCCAAACAAAACTAGAGCTTTGTTTGTCTCTGAACTACCTTTTGCATCATTTCATAAATCTGGTTCCTGGCCTTCTGCCTTACTTTTGTAATATACTGCCTGTCCCTATCAGCTCTGCTACTGACTGAGTATTCATCAATACAGCATGTTTAGGCTTCTTTGCTTAGAATCACTTACTATAGCTTGGTTTGCTTGGACCTAACTCTACTCACTTGAGCAACTCACTTGAGCAATTGCCACTTGTCTTGGGCTGCCTAGTCTGGCCACTTTATTTGTACTTTTAGTGGGTACAACAATCAAGTTATTTAGAATTAGACATAGTGGCAGGATTCATCTTTGGGGAAAACTGCAAATTACATGAATCCTATCATGGAACGAAGAGCTTTGGAACAAAGAGTAGCTAATAGCGCTGCATAAAAAGGCACAAGGCTATCTTTCTTGTGGACAGGGAGTACCTCTGAAAGATGATGGTACTGATGTCCTTCTAGCTGGTGGAGAATTACTGGGACTTGGGACACAGGGTCAAGGGCAAGGTCAGTGGAGACCCTCATAGACTGGTATGGCTGTAGGTCAGGAGCTACAGAGGGATATGGCCAACAGGAAACCCTATGTGAAGGACATGCAAAGATGGATTTAAGGAACTATGAGATCAAATTCTAATGTAAAGTTTTTCTTTTCAAGATAAGAATTCCCTAGTGTTTATCACGTTTTATAAAATGAAGACAGAAGAGCTTACTTTGCATGGAATAAAAAGAGGTGGAGAAAGAAGCTGAGGGTGTGAGTTATAGGGAGAAGTGACCAGCAGCAAGCAAAGGAAGGTAAGCAACATGCTCTGAGTGTTCTAAGTGGTTAACAAAGAGTCAGAGGAAGAGAGGTGTGTTTGTGATTGTACCTGCTTAAATGAGATGTGGAAGAGGGCCTGAGAATGAAGAGGGCTATGTGAATTCTACTTATAAGCCCACTGTTGCTTGAAGTGGGGGTTCCCAAACATGGCCCCAGACTGAGCAAACTCAGACCTAGGTTTTACATTAGCACCAAGAGTGATTGTCTGCCTCAACTTATCATCTCAGACAACCTTGATAAGCTGACTTGAAAGCCAGCTTCCAGTGAAAGGGTGGAGTCTTGCATCCAAAGAAAAGGATGGATATTTGGGGTGGGGGTGGGCAAGATAGGTATGTCGGGACCATTGTGTAAGGATGCCACACTCTAAGATTCTGTGATTTATTGCTAGATAGTACTATACAAATTGGTGTTTAGAGTGATCTTATTAAGTTGAAAGAAAATATTGACATCTAGTTGGGCAAATGGACAAAATCTGTGTTACTTTCTCAGTTGGAAATTAAGTTTCAGCTTAAATGTCTATGTGTACTCCGCTTATGGGCAAACATTAATGTTGCAGATTCTTTTATTTCTCCCCAAAAAACCTCTGAGACAGCTGTCATTGTTACCACTCTCAATTTGGATAAGATAGAGTCCAGATTCTGAGAGGTTAAAAAAAATGCAAGTTGAGAGTAAGGTTTGGAGATGAGGCATGAAAATGAAGAAGGGGTTATGAAGACTTTAGTTATCTCACAATGAAAATATTTGTAAAGGAATGATGAGCTTTACCAAGTCTGTTGAACTTTAATGGATGTTTTGTCACTGAGCCACTCTGGGCCTTAGGTTTTGCTCCTGCTCATCTCAGGGGAGGAGTTAAGTTAACTACCTGCCAGTTTATTTACTTAGTACTTTTGTGGAATTGTGCACAACTAAAAACTAAATTTCCCTGTAGTTAAAGTCACTTTTTAACTACCCAGGAGCTTGAGTGATAAACTGTATATTGATGGTAACCCTCTAAAGAAAAACAATAGATAACACTGTTGAAAAAATTTGAAGGGGGAATTTTAAAAATGGAAAGATGTTCTGCGTTAATGGATTAGAAGGAACAATAGGGTTGGGGATTTAGCTCAGTGGCACTGCACCTGCCTTGCAAGTGCAAGGTCTTGAGTTCAATCCCCAGTACTGGAAAACAAAGAAGAAACAATATTGCTAAAATATCTATATTACCCAAAGCAATCTGCAGATTCAATCAATGCTTGTCAAAATACCACTAGCAGTCTTCACAGAACTACAAAAATAAACCTAAAATTTGTATAAATCATAAAAACAAAACAAGACCCTGAATAGACAAGGCCATCTTGAGCAAAAAAACAAAACAAAACCAAACCCCCAAACAAACCAAACTTACAAATGAACCCCCCATCCAAAAAAACCAAAAACCCCAAAACCCATAAAACCAATAACAAATCAGTAAGCATTACACTACCGTATTTGAAAATTTATACTACAAAGCTATTTTTTTAAAGAAGCCTGGTATTTGTATAAGTACATACACGTCGACTAATGGAACAGGATAGAGAGCCTAGAAGAGCATCCCCTGCACATAGAGCACACTTATTTTTAACAAAGGTGCTTGAGTTCTACTATATCATCATTGATTTTTTTTTTGGTCTGGTTGATCCATTTATAGCAGCATAGTTTGTAATAGCTAAATCTTGGAAACATCCCAAATGCCCATCAACTTATGACTGGGCAAAGAAGATATGGTATTTTTTTATAAAATGAAGTATCGCTCAGCCGTAAAGAATGAGACACTAGAGACATTTATACCTAAATGGATGAACATCGAGGCCATATTCTCCAGGGAAATAAATAGGACACACATGTGTAAAGACCAAATAGTGTGTCTGTTGAGAGAAATTGAAAGTGTAAATGAGGACCAAAATGTATAATAGATACTATGAAATAGGAAGAAAAGGTCTAAAGGGGCAGGGAAGGTGCGGGGGAGGGAGGAAAGAAGAAGGAAAACACAGAAACAAAGCTTTTGTAAACAGGGAGAGGTGAAGGAGTGGAAGGGAAGGGGAACGGGGAAAAAAATAAGAACCCAGATATATCACGTACAAATTTCCAATGATGAATGCGATCATAATGTCTACCTAAAATGTACCAGTAAACTTAATGGAAAAAAGTGCATGAATGAAAGAACAAAAAGCCAAAGGTGCTCAGACCACATACTGGAGAAAGGATAATCTTTTCAGTAAATGATGTTGGGGAAATCGCTATCTACATAGAAAAGAAAGAAAGTGTAAGTTTTTCTCATCAGATAAAAAGTCAAATCAAAATTGTGATTCCATTATGACCAACTAAAGGCAGTGGTAAAAAAGTGAAGACAAGCACTGGGAAGTGCAGATGCGCAGAAGTGGGGAAGGTAAAGAAAGCCGGAGACAGGAAAGCAACTGAAGGAGAAACTCACCAGACCAAATTCATTTTCAGGGGAGTTTGAAGGAATCTGACCACTGCCATCCTGGTCTGTGCAGAGACCGTTTTAAATCCCCCCCATGCTTTTACACCTGCTGCAGATGTATGGTCATGGGTCAAGAAGGCCCAGTAAGCACAGCCACACCCTGTGATTCCCAGTCATTGTTCAGCCTTGCACGTGACAAATGACATGCCAATCCCTGTAGGTCTGCAAGCCTGGTACCCAGTGGATGGACACAACTCCTTTGTACTGAACTCTCCCCATAGTATGACTTTTTTTCCTCCACAGCCCCCTTTTTATGCTTGTGACCCTATAAAGACTTGATAGCCTAGATGAGAGCTCACCAGTGTGGCTTCTAGTGCTACAGTGGTCCCCGTCAGGTTTGTTTTTGAATAAACCTGTCCCGTTAAGCTCATAACCCTGCTTCTTTTCTTTTTTTTGTCCTAACAGAGTTTAGAAAGGGAAGCTGGGCCATCCATGCATCACAGGCCCCCTTGTATCCCAAGTCCAGTGAATACACCATCTTGGGAAAAGATCTAATGCCCTGAGGGAGGGAGCCAGGCTGTGTCCTAAACTCTCTGCCTTTGCCAAGAGGAAGAAACCCAGCAAAGGAGATATTTGCTGACCAAGGCAAGAGAGAAACTGAGAGCCAGTGAGCTGTGATTGAAATAGCACAGGCAGGCCCTTCGTAAGTTCATCCTGATTAAGGACCTGGATTTGAGTGTGAGGAAGCCACCATCCATGGAGTTAGGGGAGAAGGCAGCAGTAGCCAACAAGAAGAAAAGTGAATTGAAGCAGTATCGAATCGCTCTCCAAAAGAGAGGGAGTGCTGCGCCCATGGGATGTCCTGCCTATTGTCCACCACCCAACTGTTGGTGCGTGCAAGAGAACCCCACCTTCCAACCCTAGCCCAAAGCTACTGTGCCCTGGGAGCCCTAGAAGGCAGAAAGAAGCAGCATTGCCAGAGGGTTTGCCATTGAGTGCTTATCTGGAACCTTATAGACAGAGAACACAG